GCCACACATCTCACCTTGCTGGGGGGCCTGGTTCTGCCGCCCATTATCGAGTCATTATCTCAGAACCACCACTACAGGGTTCTGAGCCCAGGTGCCAGGGAACCCACAAAACTAGCAGTGAAATTGTGCACCAGGCGCATCTCTGCCACTAGAGGGTGCTGCTGGTGCCCGGACAGTAGTTCATGGTTGGAAGACCCCTGGCTCACTGGGTCTCAGCTGTTCGGAGAAAACGTCTCCCGACGCGGGGGTTGGGGCCTTTCTGAGAGGGAAAGCGACAACCCCAAGGTGAAGTCTTCCTCCCCACCCCCACCCTGAGGCTCCTGCTTCCTGCTCTGCAGTTGAATGGCAGACCCTGGCCCTGCAACTCTGTCCGTCATTACAGAGAAACGGCTTCCCCAGAGCCGGTGGCCGCCAGCGCAGCTGGGCCGTGACAGCGGCTCAGGCCGGAGCTGCCTCCTCCTCCTCCTCCTCCTCCCTGACTTGGGGCCTTTGCTTTGGGCAGCAGCTGTGGCAGCCCTGAGCTTACAGAGCTGGCTGCCTGGCCACCGCGCTGTGAGCCTCACAGACCTGCCGCCTCACCCCCTCGGCCAGGCCAGATGGTCACCTGGCGGCGGTGCAGGCCCTGCGGCGACTTGGACGGGCGCCCCTGCTGTGCGGTGGCAGACTCCCTCTGGCCGGGCTGCCGCGGGTGCCATGTGGCGCCGGCTCGCTTTCAGCCTCCGGTGTCGAGCGAGGGCTTCCAGCAGCAGGCTTCCGATGGCCCGGCACCGGGGCTTCTCTTTCCCTGGGGAGGGAGGGAAACGGTGCCCCACCCAGAACTGAGCTGTCCTGCCGCAGCTCCTCTTCCTCCCACTGCTGGGACAGACGCTGCCTTCACTGCTCTAAGGTGGGGGTGGCTGCAAACTGCTGCTCAGCACATCCCGAGACCTTATTGCTGCCCCAGAACTACTAGTCTGTGCCCATGAGGTCACCAGCGGGTCAGAGGGCCCGGCAGCCATGGGTGCCGCCATCAGTTTCCCCTTGGGGCCCAGCTCACACACCCATCACGGACCCCTGCTGGCGTGCTCACAATTCCTAGAGACAAAGGTGACCCTAATGCCCTGGGAAGTGTGCTTAAAACTCTGGCCCCTCCCACTCCGTTCCCCAAGGCCTCCCCAAGGTCACTGTGGGACGACAGCTTGCAAAGCAGGTGTTTGCAGAACCCCTGCCAACGCGACTTGTATTTTTAACTCTGCAGCAGCCTGTAAACCACCGTGCATTCACAGCACAGCGCAGCCAGGAGGGACAGGTTCAGCTCTCAGTGACAGGGCCGGGCCCTACGGGACCCGACTCCCATTAGCGAAGCACAGAGAGAACTTTCCAGTCCCTTAGACCATAAGATAATGGAATTGTTTTGTTAAAGTCCAGCAATAACTCGTTCCCTGAGAGGGTGCTCGGCCAAACTTGGAAGCTGCTGTAACCTTACTCTGTTTCCTTATCCATAATTCATGTCTAACGTGGCTGCGAAATGTCTCCCCCAGGCCTCTCCTATTAGATTTCCATTACACAGCCCTTTTGTAACCCTACCAAATTGCTGTTGTGTCAAATTGCCGTATTCGTCCAAAAGCCGAGTTCTGGTAACTCTTCCCCCTTGGCGATGTGGCAGTGTAGGACGAGATCCCACTTTCCACCTGAATCCTGGGTAAGTGGCCTCACCCGCCACCTGGGCACCGGCCCTGCCCGTCTCTCCCTCTGTAGCCTGAGGCCCTCAAAGCCCTGACTTAGCAGCTTCCTTCAAATATTTGGCTTTGCATTGATTTCTGCCTACTTCCTCTTGGTCACTGCAGTTCCTGATAGAAGGAGGGCTAACCAGTGCATCTACTTGACTTACCACCTGCCTGTGTTACAATCAGTTTCAGAACAAACGTCACCTGCTGCGATGAGGTGGCCCGGCCAGGGGGCTGCTGCACTCGCTCTGGGTCTGTGCATCCAGCTGGCCCCTCCTGGGCACACCCGCTCGTCCCGCAGGTAAGAGGAGCCGTTTCCAGGCCACTGCGCCTGGCCCCTGCCCACTCCACACTGCCAGGTGGCACCTCGAAACCTGTGCCCAGAGCAGCAACCCTCACCTTGTTCATCAAAGGCCAACAGCCCCACTAGACGGTGGAGAAGTAGCCTACCCTTTGGGGAGGTTTGTACCAACTAAGTCAGCCTTGGTCACCCCCCCCCGCCCCCCAACCAACCAAATGGGCAAAGGCCCAGGCTCACAGACAGCACCCAGGGGCCAGGCGGGAGCGCTGGGTGGGCTGGGCAGCACAGGCTCACAGACAGCACCCATCAGCTTCCTTCTGAGCAGCATGGCCAGGGCTCCTGGTGAGTAAGTCTCACTCTAATGAGCGGTTTTAGGTGAGCAGTGGCCCGAAGCTTCAGACATCAAGCCTGTCCCTGTGTGTTCTGCAAGTGAAAGCGTTTGATGCCTGCCCACATCCCAAACTCCAGCTCAGGACTTGGGGCCAGTGGAAGATGCATTATTTATAAAAACACTTTACATTAATGAGCTGCCTTTGTTGAGAAGAACAAAACGGAAGCAAACTGGGAGCGTCCAGCAGGTCCAGGCTTGCTGTAGCCCTGCCAGGGCCCTGCCGCTCTGACCCTGGGGTTCCTCTCACTGGGCATGAGGGTACCACGCCTCCGCACGGCTTCGAGGTGCATTGGAGGCGCTTCCTGGGCCAGATCCCCCACACCAGGCTGTCCAGTGACCCCAGAACCCTTCTGTCGGCCAGAAAACCCAAGGGTGTGAGCAAAATACCCCCAGCAGCAAGGGAAGCAGGAGGAGGCCCCATCCCAGCCCCACCCTGGGAAACGGCTGGCTGTCTTCCTAGTTCTTAGTTGGTCTTTCCCATCAGATGTGGCCCCTGGAGGGCAGGAAGCAGAGGCCTTCGCCCTGACCTTCCGCTCTAGATGCCTAAACGCTTGTTGAATTATGTGCTAGTCTAGGATGCAGAGCTCTGGGCAGGACTTCAGACTGTCCTCGTCACTTACCCGAGGTTGGGCGGCAGCCTGACCATCCACCTGCAGCACGGGGTGTGGGGGCCGCGGGTCCCAGGCCAGCGTCCTCAGGCACCGCTGGGCTCCGAGGCCCGGCCCCGTCCTGCCAAGTGCTTTCTGACAACAGGACGCAGGCAGGAGCCTCAGTCAGCCGTCTGCCACCCTCGGACTCCTGCCGTCCACACTGCCCCGCTTCTCTCCAACTCACCTTGCTGCTCTGTGCTGGTTTTTAAATTTAAATGCCGACATTAACTTCATCCTAGACAGAGCATCTGCCTTTGTGTGCTGCGGGCAGATAGGGGTTAAGGTGAGGCCCTGGGAAGGGAAAGTTGGGCCAGACAAGAACAGGTTAGAGACCCACGTGCACCCGGCTGTCCCTTTCCCAGTCTGAACCCCAGTGCGTGGGTGACAGAAGTCCTGTAACGCACTTATGTCCAAACCATGTCAAAACGATGAATTGAAAATTCAAAAATGCAGCCCAGCCGTGGTGGCTCAGTGGTTGAGCGTCGACCTATGAACTAGGACAGTGATGGCGAACCTATGACACGTGTGTCAGAGGTGACACGCGAACTCATTTTTTTGGTTGATTTTTAAGTCTTTGTTTTACTATGGTTGCAAATATCAAAAAATTTCTATATGTGACACGGCACCAGAGTTAAGTTAGGGTTTTTCAAAATGCTGACACGCCGAGCTCAAAAGGTTCGCCCTCACTGAACTAGGAGGTCACAGTTTGATTCCAGATCAGGGCATATACCCGGGTTGCAGGCTTGATCCCCGATCATGCAGGAGGCAGCCCATCAATGGTTCTCTCTCATCATTGATGTTTCTCTCTCTCCTCCCTTCCTCTCTGAAATCAATAAAGACATATTTTTTAAAAATTAGAGAATGCAAGTAACAGCTGTTGCCAGTTCGCAGGAGAACTTTAAGGTGGAAACAGCGCCGCCCAGCGAGTGTCAGTAAAGGAGCCGAGCGTCTCCTTAATGTGATGCCGGGAGGACGCCTAGGGCGTCAGTACTGCCGAGTGAGGCGCAGGGCATCTCGGCTCCCCAAGTTTGACTCACAGGCCACGGCCCCACCTGCGATGCACCCCCGTGCTTCCTCACCCCGCCCACAGCCCATCCCGATCAGGTGAGCGTTGGGAGGTGCTTACCTGGGGCGGTCACCTCCCCCCGCGGTGCCAGGTCTACATTGCTGCCACGGACGCTGGGGAACAAGTGCTGGGCCCTGCCGCAGCCCCTTCCTGCCAGGAGGGGCCACAGCACCCCAGCCTGAGCCCTGGCATCGGTGCCCAGCACCACGAGGCCAGCTCGGGCCCCTGCAGCCGCACAGGCTCCAAATGTGCGGCCACGACGCTGAGGAAGCCCACAGCCAAGTCCCCAGTCCCGGGAGCAAGGAGCTGCCTCCTGACTGAATTCCCAGCACTTCTGCAGGGAAAACAGCAGACACGTTACCAAAATGAACCCAACAAGGAGAAAAGTCCCCTCGAACCAGCCTTCGACCACGACTCAGCCGCTTGCTCCTCCGTCTCCGCTGTGCCAGCCAATGGCTGGCCAGTCGTGTGGGCAAGGGACAGACAGGAGCCTTGTTCATTAACAAACCCTGTTCCTTTTTTATTGGAGATAAAAACAGTAAAGTCCCACACACCATGCCCTGTCCCGGGGGCGGGATGAGCTGCGGCCGCAGGCCCCGGCCGGCTGCTCGGCCTCGGGGGCTGCTCGGCCTCGGGGGGCTGCTCGGTGCAAAGTACGGTCTCCGCGGGGAGCGCTCAGTGGCAGAGGGCCATGGTCTCCATGTTAAGGAAGCGGACGTGCATCTTGGTCTCGATGTCGATCCCCTGCCAGATCTGAAATGCACGGAGCGGCGTGAGGGCCTCACACCGACCCAGGCAAGTCCTAAACCATCCCCCCCACCCCACCTCCCTCTGCGGGCCTCAGAGATGTGCCCGCGGGACAACCAGCTGAGCCACCACAGGGAGCTGCCGCTCTGTGCTGGGGAGCTTGCCTCTGGCATTCGTGTTCTCTGAGGTGTCGCCGCAGGTGGTGACTGAGTCCCGAACCCACACTCCCATCCTCCACCGCCTCAGGCTCTGAGTCCCCAGTAAAATGCCGAGACCACCCCCTGTCCCCCATAGCACAGAAGACTGGGGTGTGGGGTGTCGAGTTATCAGAAGCGTTTTATAAACTTTAGGGCTCTGCAGTTGTGAGGTTTCAGTAAGCCTTCATCATTCATTAAAAGGTGACAACAGTCTGGTCTTTATAACCGTCCATGTTCTACACAGACAAGCTCAAAGGAAACGTCATTTCCACCCAAAGACCAGGGCCGTGGTCTCATACCTGGTGCTGGAGACGCCGTCCCAGTGCGGCCTGGCCGGGCTCTGCCAGACCCTCCCCCCCCTCCCCCCCCCCCCCCGAGTCCCACACCGGCTGGGTGCTCGCCAGCTCCTCAGCCACACAGTCCCCCCGCTCCCCCAAGAGGGCCCCAAACGGAGCGAGGGTGGGAGGGATGCTAACAGCACGGAGGGATGTGGTGGGCGGTGACTTCTCACGGGCTCCCTGCTTATGTAAGAACGTCAAGCTCTCAAGCTGTCACCACAGCGTCTCCAGGGACAGCCGGGGGCTGGAAACGGGGAAGCCAAAGCCACAGGGAGGCCTTGGTGCGTTTCTTGCCACTGTCACACGCACGATGCCCACGCGCTTCCCGGGCCCTGCAGCTGGCCTGGGTGTGGGGTGAGGACCAGAGGAAACACCTGGGCCCACGGGAGGCTCTGGCCCTCGCTGGGTGAACAGGACGTTCCCAGGAAAGTTACCTGGGCACCAGGACGGTTCCTGCTAAAGGCAGGTGGCAATGGGGTCACCAAGGAAGCTGTGGAGCTCGGGGTGGGGAGGCGCTAGCCGAGCAGGGAAGGCCCACCTGGCTGGAGGCATGGCGGTGGCCAGCCTTCGGGGAGGAAGCTCGCTTCTCAGGCAAAAAGGAAAGGCATCCCACCTTCGCCTGCCCAGCCCCGGGTGGTGCCCTGGGAAGGCGAAGGAGACCACGGGCCTCCTCGCAGCCTTTGAGCCGGGCATGGGCTGGTGACGGGAGCAGGGCCGGCCCCACTCCATGCACAGTCCCCCCGACTTCCTCTCTTCCTCAACTCCCAGAAAGGCCTTGGCAACCGCGATGCTGGGGTGCTCGGGGCCAAAGAGCCAGTCAGAGGGCCGGGGCCTCATCTCCCTGCAACGGGGTATCTCCTGTCATAGCCGCGAGGGGTCCCAGCTCCCAACTGGGAGTCGTGTGTAGCAGGAAGGATGAGCAAGGCCTGAGTGTCCGCTAGGGGGAGCGGAGAGCCCGCCAGGGAGGCCGGAGGAGCGCAGCCGCCCGCAGGCGCAGGCGGGAAAGCCAGGGCAGGACCACACTCCGGTCGGTCCGCATCTGCACAGACACCCGGAGCCCTGCTTCCCGCTGTGCACTGGCACTGCTTCTGAGAAGGGCGAGGGGCACTGCACCCTCTGTACCCTCCAAACGTTCTGGCCGCGCGGGAATATGACTTTTTCAATAGGAAGCAAGGAAAACCAGTTTAAATTGTTTTAACGCCACGCCCAGGCTCGACCCTTTCCACGGAGATGCCAGTCTCCTGACCAGCTGGCTCCCCCTCGAGTCCCACCTCGGCCACACCCAGGACTCTCCCCCCACCGCCCCCAGACACGCACCTTCAGGAAGTCGTCGAAGGTGATGCCCTCGTACACCTGGTCAGGCTCCTGGGGACAGAGCACAGGCAGGGTGAGTGGCTTCCACCGGAGGCTCAGGAGGCTCTGCCCCTCCCCCCTGCACGCACACCTGCACATGCACATGCACACGCACACGCACACGCACACACACACACGCACACACATGGTGGGGCCTGTTTAGGTCAAGTCACAGAGGGTCATTCTGCATTATTTGTCTCCGGCTCAAGGCCAGTCACCCTGAATCCGACGGCCCCTTCACTGGCTGGAGGGCGGGAGGGCAGGTGGTTGGGAACCCTGTGGATGAGGGTGGAGAAGGAGGCGGGGTGGGCACAGAGGCACGGGCCCTCCTTCCCCACCCGGCCCCCTCTGCCAGGCCCCAGCAGGACACCAATGACACACACTTCCTGGTCCTGCCTCAGCGCCCAGCATCGATAAGAACCAGTTCTAGGCGGATCTGAGCTCAGGCCACTGGGGAAAGGAGCAGGGGGGCGAAGGGCTGGCCTGTGTGCCCAGTGAGTCACCATGATAGCGCCTGGCGGCGACCTCACCTGCCCCATCACTGGCGGTGCTGGCCTCCCGCTGTGACCCTGCTGGGGGCACAGGGGCCTCATGGGACAGCAACTGGGCTCCTGTCGCTTCTGCTGCTGCTCTCAGCTCTGGCTCAAGGGCCCCCGGACACCTCCCCAGCCCCTTAGTGACAGGACAGCCCGGCCAGCGTCCCAGATGCCCAGCCACATAAACGTCACTTGTCCACGGGACTGACCACCGTGCGGCCATTAGAAAAGGGCGACCTATACACACCGATAGGGAAACGGCGCCAAGACACGTACACAGTGGAACCAACCAGCACAAGCGGGAGCAGCAGGATGTCTGCGGACCCTCTGCCCAGCTAGGCAGACCCCCCTGCTGCCACGTGGGGGCGGCACAGAGAGGAGAAGCCGGGCAGTTAACTCCGCAGAGGGACGCAGAAAGCCGGCCAGCAGGGGGCATGGCGTGGACCTGCCTTCTTCCCTCAGGGAGCAGGACGGGCTGAAGGGAGAAGGCCAAGGAGAGACGCTTCTCTTGGGACCTCCCTGGAGGCTGTCCCGTGTGTCTTTAAGGAAGTCTGCGACGTGCCAGGCACTGTCCCGAGCGCTCACCACGGCTGTTCCGCTAACACTGACTGTGCATCCTCGCAGCAGCCCCCCAGGCAGGCCTGCCCGCACCACTTACAGGGAAGGCCCCGGGCAGGGGCCAGGCTGCTAGTCCTGCGGACAGGGCTCTCCCTCTGGTTTCTTCATTGCACTTGGTCTACATTTTTTTAAATGTTATAAATGCAACCAGTCCTCAGATGCCTGTCATGGGCCCAGCGAGAAGTGGCTGTCCTGTCCCTGCGGGCAAGCCCAGTGCCCGGGGCAGCGAGGAGAGCCAAGTACAGACAAGGCCCCCCTGGCCCGGGCCCGGGGCTGCAGGGCAACCTTGGAAGGAAGGAGAGAGAGGGGCTCGGGGAACACCCCAGGCCGAGCCCCCAGCCAAGCAGCGCCCCTCTGGAGCCACAAGAAGCCTCCCCAGAGAGAGCACTCCAGAACGAAGCCGTTGCCATCAGAGACAGGCCTTGACGTCCATTAAAGGGGTGCTGGATCCTCAGTGTGGGTGGCGGCATGGGCACACTCAGCGTCCTCAGAGGCCGGCGGCATTGAAACGCACGCAGCTCGTCTGCTTCTCCGGCCCACGCCGCCACGAAAATGTGACGAGCACAGGGAGGATCCCTAAGTAGACGGTGCTCGGGACACGGCCGGGAAGCCGCGGCTCGACGTGCCCGCTTCGGAGGTTGTGCAGGGTTGGTGCCCGTCAGCAGCTGCGAGCCACGTTTACAGCAAGTGGAGAAAGCTCGCCAGCTGGGGCTGGAGGGCCGGGGAGCGGCTTACAGGCGGTGCGTGCGGTTACATCACATGGGAATCGGGCCGACAGCCGGTGGGCATCCCTGCGCTCCCCGCCGAGGTCACCAGCCTCTGTGGCAATTAAGTTGCTGAGTGGGGTGGTTTCTCGGAAGCCAGTGCCTGCCCTGCGCCCAAGCAGCAGGCAGATAAAATACAGGCCAATAAACCCCCCAGCCCCACCCCCGGGCCGGCCTGGCCTGCTGTGGCCCCTGGGCTCGGGTTTGGGGCACAAACAGCAGATCCAGCAGGAAAACAGCGCCCCCTCCACACACACACACACACGCACACACACGCACGCACACACACACACATACACACACGCAGGCTGTGAACCCTCAGCCACAGGCGTGCACAGCGGAGCTGACATAAACACAGGAGCAGGGCGGGGGACAGCCCAGCAGGACCCCGACCCCCAGGGAACAGTCCATGGAGACGGCCTCGCGCCCTGCCATGAGGTCCCCGGGGCTCGAGCCACAGTGTCAGGATGGGCCCACTGGCCCCCCGGCCCCAGCCCGCCCCCCCCCCCCCCCCCACCATTGAGTGAGCCTATTAAGCACAGCCAAGATCATGGCCCTAAATTCCGGGAGCTCCGTGTCCCTGAGCCTTGGTCCCCACCAGTAAAAACGAGGCTAAGAATCAATACGACGGCGTATGTGAAGG